GAACCTGTGGCGTGCTGCTATCATTATTTTCTGGTTTTCATTCTTCATATCTTGCCTGACCAAGGCCCTCCAGCCACCCAATCCAAACCCCAGATGCGCCTGTTCATGGAAAATGATAATGGCCTTGTGACGGTACGACGGTACTGGGTGCGATTAGAGAGCGGAGAAGACAAAGAGCTGTATTCGCAATTAGCAATGTTAGGATTTGAACAGAGACACAACACTTACATTGTTTGTCGCCGCAATTGCAATGCTGTCTTCGAATGGATGCCAGCTCATGTGCAAGATCTTCTTGTTGAAGTCGATCTGATCCGCATCTGTTTCCTTCTTCATGCGACTGCCTGGGCCGGCAGGACTGCCGGATCGCGAGCTGGCCTTCTTTCCGTTACCCTTGCTCATCGGTGTCGGTACACCAACCTTCTTTGCCTTGAATGCCGACTTGTCTGCCTGGAGCACAATTTCCGTATCCTTCTGTTCTTCTGTAGGGTAGATCATGAAGTTGTTGTTGTAACTGCCGGTCATGACGTTCTCCGCGTCTCCTGAGAAGACCACCTCGAACTTGTCGAAGATGCTATCGTTCTCGTAGGTATCGCAAAGGCGAGGGCGCAGGTGCTCGTGGATGGGGATGGTCTTGATGGGCTGGCGTTCCATGTTCACATCCCAAATCTTCACTGTCAAGTAGTCCCTGGACACAATGTACCGCCCATCGTTGGAGAATCGTACGTCGGAGATGGAGGAGATAATCTCAGAGAAGAAGGAACGTGACGAGGCATCTTCTTCTTGTTCGAACTCTGCAGTAAAACAGTCAGTAATAGCAATGAAACACTTCTGGAATTGTACGTACGCTTGGCGTGTTCATCACACAACGCCCGTTGCCGCATATCCGCAAGCTTGATTGTGCCCTTGGAGCTGGCATACATGAACCAGTTACAGCTGACTGGGTGGAACTCGGCCGCAGTGATGACTTCTGTGAGTTCCTCCATATTCGCTGGCTTGATATCCACGATGTTGAAGCTTTGGTCCTGGATGTTGAGATTCCATAGGTTCACTCGCAGATCGTCACTGCTGATGAAGGTTTCACCATCGCTGTTAACGGAGATGCTATTTATATGATACGCGTGAGCGTTGGCGTATGTTCTCCGCGGGACAGCGGCAACAACAGTGTCATGGTGTGTCAGACGAGGCAGCTTGAGCATAGAGGGGTCCTTGAAGGATATGCGGGGTGCGCGAGCCATACCCCCGCCCCCAACCGGGTTCGCAGGAGTCAGTTCATTCGATAGGTTGTTCTCGGCGACCACTTTCAGAGACTTGTCGAAGACCTTCCAAAGCTTTATCGTCTTGTCGTTCGTCGAAAGGAGGAAATGGGATGCGTTCTGTCGTCGGCACCATTTTATCTTGTTGATCTTCTCTTCGATCTCTAGCGACTTGAGATAATCGAACTCCGGCTCGTGTGATTGGAACTCTGTGTGAAACTTATACTCGCAGGTTTTTTTCTGTGTTGGTTAGTGATTAGCCAAGGGCAAAACCAAAAAGGAAAATTGAGAAAAAAAAAAAAAAGAACCGAAGGGGGGGTGGGCTACCGTCTCGTTTCGCTCGAACAACACCACCCTTCCTCCCTTGTCACCAGTAGCCAGGTAGTTACCGGTGTGGTCAAATTCGACGGTCGAGATGATGTCCGCTGTAGAGCGCTTGTCAGTCGATGCACTCTGTGGGGATTGACCAGATTCGGCCGAGTAGTGCGAGGGAGGTTTCCAATTACCTTCTGTGATATCTTCTACATCGCCTTTATCGCCAAAGCATCTGAAAACAAGTTAGCTACCATTCAATGACTCCTTGTGGTGACGTTGGATTGATAGCGCCTGGGCAAATGGAAGAGAAAAATGAAACCCAGGGCGGGAAACGTCTGAAAGGTGTAAAGCCGGCAAACTTACTGTGTAAACTTCCAGGTAGGTGTGCCTGGATCTCTGTCTACCATTTTCACGTTCTAGCTAGCCCTTGAACGCGACAAGGGCAAGGACCAAGATAGGAGGGACGGGAATGGCGGGTTGGCAAATGCCTCTGAAAGCTCTATTGATGGTGCAAAAAATCACTCGGGATGAAGCGACGTAGTCGCGATAGCTGACACGAAAGAATCCGGTCGGATGGAATTGTCGATTGGATAAAGCGGAAATGGAGAGAACAGTCGGTCACCGGAGATGGTGTGCGAGGGGTCTGGAGGGCGGATGGCGGTAAGGCGAAAAGAGGGGCAGAGGGGGGAACAGCTTAAACGATCCGAGTTTGAAGGACGAGCTGTAGAATGAAGAGCTGTTGCCGAATGAGATGGCAACGTTGACGATAGAACACCGTGAATGTGCTTGTTATGAGTGGACCCGCAGCAGAAGAGCTTGAGAGGGGATCATAGGAAAAATGTTTCTAAAGATGGAGAACCTTTTGTTAATACAAGCCCTGGAAAGGTCAAAGGGTCAAGGGAGATGTGGTTGCGTACTTGGTCCGGAGGCGATGAAGAAAAGACAAGGAAAAGAGTTGTGAGGTAAAGTTGCCCAGATGAGTTGAGGCGGTGGTGGGGAGTTCGTTAGATACCAAGGTGACCCTGTTCTTGAGCACCATCAACATTAGGGATTTAATCTTGTAGGCTGAAATGATTTTTAAAAAAAAATTCCGTTTAATTGGATTTGATTCCAAATGAGATTGAATATTCTGCTTCAAGAGAATTCAAGTCGGGCATCTGCAACATACTGACATCAACACTGCCAGAGACTGTAACATGGCCCGTTGCGCCCTTTGCGCCCCTCTCCGGCCTTGCAACCCGTATAACACCTGGGAGACTAAATTGGAGATAGCAATTGAACTATTTCGTTGTTATCTAGCTATTTATTCGGATTGAGCTGAATCGATCTCATGCAACTCTGTATCAAAGACATGCCCGAAGCAGTACTATGCGCCTCTGTCGTCATTCTTGATGCCCAAGCAGGACTCCGTCAAAATAAGCATTGTCATATAGTATATGCTACATAGTGGCTGTTGCAAAAGAGACATTTGAAGACGTTGATTCAAATCCGGGGCATCCACAAGGTAGTGTTCAAAAATCCTTCATATTAGCATGGTACTTCCATAGGTATAAAGTGGACATACTCAGGCTCTATCATGCTTCTACACAGTCCTATGTTGAAGATCCTATGACCAAAAACATTCCTTTAACTTGTTAACTGTTAAACTGTATGCAATATTCCCTATTTCAGCCCATTTCATCCCATTTCATCCCATGTACTTCATCCCAGTCGACCTTCACATGCTTCCCTACATCATCCGGTCCAGTCATATTAAGCCGAACATCAAGCCGAACACCAAGCCGACAACCTTGGAAGAGCTACTCCGAGTCCCAATCCCTACATCTCAAGCTCAACCCTTATTCCTTGCATCTTCAACCTCCAATTTCCTTCACCCTAGACCCAAAGCCATGACCAACCAAAAGAACATGCGGGGCAATCCCAACCCCAACACCAACCAAACCCAAAGCGACACCCTAGCCCCAGCCCCATCACCCTCCACCCCAAACACCCCCTCCAATCAACCCCCCGCGCCCCCCTCGCTAGCAACCCGTATCCAAGCCTCCGCAACAAGCCTAGCAAAAAGCGCATTCCGCCCGAGCTCCGACCTCGCCAACACCCTAGCATCAAGCACAAGCAGCAAACCAGATCCATCCTCCCTCCCAAATCCTCAAACCAGCAGGGATCCACCCTCAAATACCACACTGCATGGATCCCCCGGTTCCGCGTCCGCATCTGCAGCACAGGCCTTCCGCGAACACAATGCACATGCATCGACAGCAGACAAACACGTTCTACCGGCCTTGACAGAAGATGATTTCCAGGGAAGAAAACACAGACATGATGGGATAGACACAGGAGATGAGAGACAGACGGATCTGCTACACACCACCACAACCGTAACAGACCCAAAGGCAAGTACAATCCAACCCCACAAAGACCTCCAAACCCCCTCCTCAGCCTGGAAAGGCAAAGCCCGCGCGCACGACCCAACACAGCACCAATTCGAAACTGTCTGGCAGCGCCAATGGCATGTTCTACACGATCCGCAGACCAGGGTTACCGCAACCACGGACGGCGCAGCGGTTGTGTCTCTGCTATCTGATGCGAACTTCGATCCGAATTTCGAGGATCCGATGTCAGTTCCGGATGCAGAGATTGATTTCGCGGCTGTGCCGGCTTCACTTTCTGTGGCTGAGAGGGATATGCTTGATTCCTTTCGGAGGGGGCTGGGGCTGGATGGGAAGAGGGAAGGGGAGGGAAATGGGCGGTTAACGGGGGCGAGTCTTGTTCCTGATCTCGATGTCTTTTTGAGTCAGGGGTTTGGAGCTGGCGTGGGGATTGGGACGAGGGAGGGGAATGCTACGACCACGGGTGCTCGTTCTACTTCTACTTCCCTCCGCGATGCTGTTCTAACGAACCTGCCTGGTGCGGGTGATTGGGTTGGTGTTCAGGAGAGATATCATGATGAGGTATGGGGGTATTTGCAGCCTGTGCTTGCGGAGGCGAGGGTGGAGATTGAGGAGAAGGGGGCCAGAGAGGATGGGCCTGCTGTGAGGAGGTTGAAGATGATATTGGTGCATATGAAGGGATGATTGTACGGAGCACTAGTAGGAGGGTTCGGAGTATAGGTTCTCCATGCTCTTGCAGTAGGTTTGGTGTTCATTTTTTTGTTTTTTACCATGTACACGTAGATTGAAATATTAAGCTAGATTTGCACAGATGAGAGATGGTAGGAGAGTGAACATTTGGCAATTGTGCAAAGATGGCCGAGGAAGACAGAATTCAAATTGGCACCGATTCTGCCTCAGCGATAATCAGTGTTGAGGGCCGATTCGGTCGCTGAAATCTGATAATTGGGCGTAACTCGGCTTTGTAATAGTAGGCGCGACATTCCAAGCCCGAAAACTGAAGACACAATCTACTCACCAAAGCTACAACTACAACCACATCAAGTTCAAAGCCGATTTGAGATTCCCAAAGTGTTTTTTTTTACCAAAACAAACTATGCACGTATGATACACTAGAACTAAAGTTGATCCAATCGAATTTTAGATTCCGACTGAAAGAAGCAACGGTGCCAACGCCAGCACAAGAAACAGTAAGAAAGAGACGAAACGGGGGTATGAGAGATCACACGCTGGAGGATCATATGTCATCGAGAGGGAGCGGTCGTCAAGGAGAAGAGGCATAGAGGAGAAACTTTTGATAGAACCTCTACAGCTCCAAGCTGGGGGTCTCACCCTTGACACGACCGATCACAGTTTGAGCAGCGTACTTGGGAATAACCTCATCATCGTGAAGCATAGCGAACTCCTCGGTCGCATCACGACCCATGAAGTTATAAAGCGCGTTTGCACCACCGGGGTGCTCATCGACCCAGTTAGTGAGATCGAGAATGACGCCCTTGACCACGACCCAAAGGTCATCCTTGGTGTTATGCGTGGCGACTTCCTCCATGGAATACTCGGTCTCTGGGATCTTGAAAGTCGCCGGATCAGGCTTGGAGGCTGGAGCCTCGATGTCGGGAGCAGGGGCAGCGAGGGGAGCGAGAGTGGGCAGGTTTCCGCCGGTGGCGGCACCGGCCCACTCGACAGAGATCTTGCCGGGGATGTTGGGGTCGATGTGGAGGGAGATCTGGCCGAGACGCTGGGAGGCAGCGGAGGAGCCCGTGGTGAGGAGCTTTTGGAAGAGGTACTGGGAGGCAGAGTCACCTGCAACACGGCCGTAAACGACACAGCCGAGGAGGGAAGATCCACCCAGACGATTGGCGCCGTGGACGCCACCAGCGAGTTCACCGCAGGCGTAGAGGCCGTCGAAGGGCTTTTGTTCGCTGTTGAGGACCTGGGCGTGCTCGTTGATTTCGATGCCTCCCATAGTGAAGTGCAGGACGGGTTCCATGAGAGCGACGTGGAACTCGTCGTCGAGCTGGAAGGGCATGTTGTGGAAGAAACGCTTGTTCCAGGGGTCCTTCTTCTTGCCATCGGCGATGAGATTGTACTCGTCGAAGGTCTTCTTGAGAGCTGCTTCGCCGCAGCCGATTTCGGCAACGAGTTCAGCGCCTGTCATCTTCTTCATCAGGCCGCGGCCGGAGTAGTGGCGGGTGTGGAAGTCCAGAACTTTGGAGGCTTTGCTGTTGAGAACGAGGCGGATGGGCCACTTGCCCTTTTCCTTCTCTTCCCACATCTTGCCGGAGACGTAGTCGCGGTGGCCGAGCTCGTCAGAGAAGCGCTGACCGTCGGAGTTGAGGAGCAGACCACCTTCACCGCGGAGGGCTTCGGCAGCAAGGAACTTGAACTTGGCATCTGGGTCCTTAGGGTCGACAAGACCAGTGGGGTGGACCTGGACCTTGTCCATGTCGATGCCATTGGCGCCGATAGCCATCAGCATCTTCTGACCATCACCGGTAGCGTGGGTGCCGTTGGTGGAGGATAAACCAAAGGTGTCGGGGCGATGCTTCTTGAGGAGGGAGGTCTCACTGAAATCAGCGGCATAACCACCGGTAGCGAGAATGACGACACCGTCGACAGACTTCTCCTCGCCGTTGATGGTGTAGGTGACACCGGTGACATTGTTACCAGACTTGTTAATGGAGGTGACGTTGGCCTTTTTGACGATCTGGACACGACCGGGCTCCTTTTCCGCGAGGTCTTCCAGTCGCTGCATCAGGGCGTAGGTGATGGCCATACCGGGAAACTTGGCATCATGGCCACGGTGTGTGCGGGGGTGAGTGTGGCCCCCGAGACGGGAGACGAGAGTGAGGTCGAGGTTGAAAACATCCTGCAGCCACTCAACGGCGGAGGCAGACTTGTATGTCAGGACCTTGATCAGGTCGGGGCGGGCCTTGTCACGGGCGGACTTGAGAGTATCTTCGTAGAACTGCTTGACGCTGTCTTGGATGCCGAGATCGGTTTGGGTGCGAGTGAGAGCACCGTTGATACCGGAGGTGGCCTTGGTAGAGTTACCACCGAAGAAAGCCTGCTTGTCCAAAACGAGGACGTTGCCACCGTTGAGGTAGGTAGTGTGTGCGGCGCTGAGACCGGAGACTGGAGAGGGTCAGCTGGGGGACAGAGAGAATGCGGGGAAAGGGGTTCTTACGGCCACCACCGACCACAATGACTTGAGGTGCAGCCATGATGTTATTTGTAGAGGTAAATATGGAGAAGAGAGAAGAAGAAAAAGGAAAAAAAGGATCTTAAAGAAAGGGTTCGGGGCAGGTCAGAAGCCGACGGTCTATCGGCCGAGGTACGAAAGAATGGAAGACGTGGGGAGATGAAAGATGGGGTATCCAGTACTGTAAATACTAATTCCTCACCTCTGGTTTGTCTGGTTTAATTACAGTCTGGGGAACTTGAGGGATCACATGCAGTTACCAGATTTAACATGACATGTACAGAGTACATCTGGTGAGGTTCAGTCTGGAATGTTTCATTCTCATTTTCACATGCATCTGCGTCATGCCACATGCCAGTAGGAGTTGAGTGGAAGGGAATGGACAAGACACCGGAAACTAGATAGGAAGGGTGGACGTATTAAAACATGATGCTAATCAGCTGTGCCTAAAACAGAGAAACAGATGTTGAATTCCGACTTCCTCGGTCTTCACAGCGAGTGTAAACCTCGGAATAACAATTGCAGTGTCCGAAGCTTCCAAATTGTGCAAGCCTGATACAAGACGAGGATAAAGGACCTTCCGATTGGACTTAAAATAGTGCAATAGAGGTATGTTAGAATACGGGATATCCAAGTTCATCTTCCAAGGCTGTCTGAAGTATCGACAACCAAGAGGCAAAAGCAGTGGCCGGCTGAGAAACGTGTAGCGTCTGATTGGTAGAGAACCGATGCGGGGCTGACCTAATCCGGGGATAGGAAATGCCTGGAGCTGATGACCTCACCGTATCTTTCTGATTCAATTGCCGACTGGAATTCTGAATTCTGTGGAGTAGCAACTGAGAGTACTCTTTGAATCTCACCAACCTTTGCTCTCCTGGAGATCCACGGCTTATTGGCCTATTGTGAATCTCCACTATGGTCGCTCGGGTCAATGCGCACCGAGAAAGTATAGTTACCATACGGCGAGAAGACCGTCGAACGGGGGGTTCTCTAACGAAACGGGTGGGATACACGCAGGAAAATGAACATGCTGGATGCATTTATATTTGTTCTAGCATATAGCAGTGTAGCTCTTGGAAGCAGGTAGGAGACCTACAATGCAGGCGTGCAGCCAAAACAGCGCTATAAAACAAGAATCGAACCAAAAGGCTTTTTCCAGGTCCCAAGATGTTGTAGAAGATAATTTTAATCCATCCATGTCACACTCTTCATAACCAAAAACTCATTCAATCCCGCATCAGTATTAAACCGACCCCAGCCACTATTCTTCACACCGCCATGGGGAAGAGCTGGCTCATCGTGAATCGTCATGCTATTAATATGGACTGCCCTGCCAACAAGTCAGCACAAAGATTCACAAATCCACTGAATCCACGCAAGCCCAAACTCAATGGGGAATGTTGGTCTCGAGCACCCGACAACTTACCCGGACTGAAGGCGCCTAGCCATCGCCAAGCCCCTCCGCAGATCCTCTGTGAAAACAGATGCCGAAAGGCCATACCCACTCCCATTGGCGAGACGGATCGCTTCATCCTCGCTGTCGAAGGGCATACACGCCGCAACGGATGCGAAGGACTCCTCCTGCCACAGCGCCACATCTTCCTTCACGCCGCCTAGCACGGCGGGCGCCATGCGAACCCCCGAATCGGTGGGGACACTGTCCGCAGACCCAGAAATGAAGTGTGCGCCTGCTGAAACAGCGTCGGTGATGAGGGCTTCGACGCGGATCTTAGAAGCTGTGTTGACGAGTGTTGGGGGCAGGGCTTCGGCCGCTGCGCCAGCTGCGAGGGCCTTTTGCAGGGCTTCTGTGAAGGCTGAGAGTATGGAGGTGTGGACGAGGATCCGGTCGGTTGCCATGCAGACCTGGCCGGACTACCACGCAAAAAAAAATAAGGGTTAGCTATTGACTCGGAAGAGAAGATCATGGATATAGACATTCTTAGGATATCCTATACTGACATTCAAAAATGCACCCACCAACACTCCCTGCACGGCAGTCTGCAGATCAGCATCCTGACACACAATCGACCTATTATTTCCGCCCAGCTCCATGAGACAAGGCTTGAGGTTCTGACCGCAGGCGCGTGTAATCTTCCGACCAACAGCTGTGCTACCGGTGAAATTGATCTTGCGCACGGCCTCGGGCTCGATCATGGCATTTACAACCTGGGGCGCATCCTGCGAGGCGCAGTGGATGATATTCAGACAGCCAGCGGAGAGACCAGCGTCTTCGAAGGCGCGGCCAATGGCCCAGTAGCAGCGGGGAGTTAGTTCGGAAGATTTGAGGACTGTTGTGTTGCCAGCTGCGAGGGCACAGGCTGCTGAGCGGATGCCAAAGACGTAGGGAGCGTTCCTGTTGAGCCAAAAAAAATGAGCGTTACGATTAACAACATTTATCCCCGAGGTTCATGTGCAGAGAACACAGTTCCCCGGGACCACATATCTACGCTGGAGATGCTCACCACGGCACAATCCCCAGAATAACACCCATCGCCTCCTTGAAAATAATGGCACTCTGCCCCTCGGTCTCAACGACAGGCACTCTACCACATATCGATGTTATGCGACTCGCAACATCGCGCAACGTGCGCACAGCAAGCGGGACGACAATGCCCGAGGAGGCACCGACGTCTGCACCCATCTCTTGGCGCATATACTCGGCACTTATCTCCAGGCGCGCCTCGAGGATATCGGCAGCTTTGAGTAGGATGTCGCGTCTCACGGTTGGTTTTGTCTGCGACCATAAGGGGAAGGCGTCGGCGCGGCCTCAACGGCGCGAATTGCATCTTGGGGGGTTGCGGCGGAGGCGGTCCAGATGGTTGTGTTGGTGTAGGGGCTGGTTACGGGGAAGGTATTTGGGGTTGTTTCTTCGCGGCCATTTATATGGAGGGGGACTGTGAATCCGGTGGTGGTTGAGGTTGTCATGATGGAGGGAATCGGTAAGGTACAGGGTAGAGATGGAGGTATGGAGCAAAGGATATGAGGTGGAAATAGCGAACACTCCTCGGTATTGAGCTTTGGGATATCCATCATTTGCTTCTTCTACTCTTTCGCGTTGAATTCCATCTTGGTTCCCCCAGCAATCACAGAGAATTCGGAGTGGATTGCGGACGAATTTTGCCAGGAACGGTGTTGGCTGTCTCATGGGACTATTCTGCGCTATGCGAGAATTCTTTGACTGAGCTTCTCAGGGTTTAGCCATGGAATGCTGCCCAGGTAGGGTTTCATCTGCGGACAAATGAACTTGTGTGTTCCATATCCCCATTTTGGCACTTACATCCCAAATCGGTAGTTTCAGCGGTGTCCAGTGATTGACAACGGTAGGAATTGCCCATCGTGAAGTTCAACAATAGCCCTCTGGCCCATTGCAATTTGAAAAAGAGGGGGCTTGAATTGGTTGTCTGAACCCCGACGTTTGGGTACGGCTTTTAATGCGGTAATCTATGCTGTAGAAGTACAGTAAGATCATCTCCATGCCTATGTCTGGACGTGTTCTCAGTAGCGTGTAAATTCTGGCTAAATCTTGCCTAGCAACCGTGCTATTGATTTGGGATTTCCAAGTCAGGTTTGCCCGAGACCCAGGTGAGAAACCATCGGTGAGACCAGTTGTATATTGACCTCAGAGAGATGGAATACGCATGGAGTATAGTGTGAAGATGTAGGATGTGGATAATCTCAAGGCAATAGTCCAGATAAGGTCAATCCTGATCCTCTTCAAAGCTTGACTCGAGTTCTCCGTGTTAGATAGGGATCAGGCGGTAATCGTCCTTCACAATATAGCTCTCAATAGCCACCATTTTGGATTCAATGGCCTATTCAGTGACGAAGCAACAATCCTTCCAAAACATTGAGCTACATTTCGTACATCACTGTCTGTGTAACAACATAAAGGCCATCAAGACCGGAAAAATGAGTCAACTCGCTATTAACTTAACCGGAATCTTCAGCATCCTTGGAGTGTGAGTAGATCCCATCGGACCATTCACATGGCGAGGCAACTCGGCTTATATTCCGCAGAAACTGAGATCGCCACTGGGACAACGGTCGGCCGCTAGGGATTGCGTGTGAGTGGATAAAATAGTGGGAAAGGAAATTTGGAGCTGGTCTAGGGATGATAGCTTATTGAGACCATTTCAGTCTTGGTCAGTCTGTGTCTGATTTCTCTGGCGCTGCAACTTGTCGCTCGCATTCAGAAGAGAGTCAGGTTCGGCATCGATGATTATCTGAGCCTGGTATCCATGGTGCTCCTCGTTGCCATGTTGTTCGAGTTGATTCTTTGTATGCCTGCCAATGCTGACGGCTATCACAGGGTGTGCAATTGGAGTCAACGGAGCCTATATCGCAGATCGGTCTCCCGGAACCCTGATGAACTGATGGAATGTAGGTACCCACCAAGCATCCAGTATCTAACAACCTCAATCTAACACCACCGAAATCTTCCTCGCCAACCAATTCACCTACTTCCTACTTTACCCCTACGGGCAGACTGGGACCACAGCATCGAAGAAACAGGTCTCGACGCACAAAAATTCATCATCGTCAACCAAGCCAACAACGTACTCATGGACCTTGTGATACTCGTCCTGCAAATCCCAGTGATCTGGAACCTCCGCCGTGTATGGCAAGACAAGCTCGCGCTAAACGGCGTATTTGCCCTCGGCGCCTTCGTCTGCTTCGCCAGCATCAACCGTATCGTTGCACTCTTCTGGATTATTCTGACGGACCCAGCCTTCACTGTCTACCAGACGACTCTGTAGACGCATATCGAGCCTGCTGTTGGTCTGATTTGCTCCAACTTGCCAATCACCCGTGATCTGTTCCCCGCGATTATCTGGAAGAGCTCTCGGAATGGAACTGGTCCTATGTGTTTCAACCCTAATTATAGAAACTCACCTTGTCGAAGTCCAACCCCCGTTCGTCAGACCTTGAGTATACTAAGGTGTACAATGCGCAGGTCAAGAGCAAGTCTCCGGGCCACCTTTGTAATCAACTCCATCTGCGCACTATTAATGTTCAGATGGATCTTTCTATCCTTCCAGGAAACAATTTCACTAGTTGGCTGGGCCAATGAGGTAACTTGCTATTGACTTATGCCGTTACAATGTGTGGTTGAATCTTTTCTTTTCTGATCCTGGGATGTAACATTGGAGTGGATTGTGTTCATGCTCCCTTGGAGAGAACATCAAAGACCCTACCGACTTCATCTTCTGTATTCTTTCATTCTTTTTTTTAATTTTCATACCTACACGACTTGTCGCGGCGTTTTTGCATTCTACTACCCTCACCAACTCTACCACCCAACGTTCTTGATAAGAATTTGTCGGCTTTAACTGCAATATGATTTGCATATTGCACGACGACACATCAGCAAACGGAGCTTGGATTTTTGATTCTCTGACTGGCTAAAAGGATATGCAAGAGTAGATTGAAGGCATGAATTCGTAGATTTTTCATCAGATGGGCACACAGATGAGATAGAGCAGACCATTCAATGCACCATTTGGCTCGTGGCGAATTCCTAGAATCAAGATATTAGCAATCAAGACACTCTCGGACAGAACGATAGCCCTCACATACCGGGAACTGATCAGAGATACTTGCCGCAACCCGCTCTACATCTTCCGCCAGATCCTGCACACCAAGATCCCACTGCCTCAGCTTCGTCTCATTAGAAGCACCCGCCGAGGATCCGCCAAGGGTCTCAGCATCAAACAAAATAATCCCATCAATCTGATCAATGCGGCCAAGTAGCCGTCCCTGCTCAACCATACGCGCCGCATAAGCCTCCGCCTTCTCACCAGCAGACAAGTCACCCGAAGACTGCAGCCCCAGGATCAAACCCAGGTCATCAACGTGGATATTCTCATACAGCTTGCTCGCCGCCACAAGATTGTGTTCTATAACCGCCTTATCAAGAACGGTCGTGCCATCCGCCGTAACGGCGAGCTGATGCGGTGCAAGTTTCTTAGCGAACGCGGTGACTTCATCGGCCGTCAGGAGTCTGTCCAGGAACATCTTCTCCAGGATGCCAAACTCCTCAACGGAGGGTGTGCGATCATCTTTGTACAGACGGGCGAGGGAGCGGGAGCGCTGCGGGCCAGCAGGCGCAAGGACAGCGCAGCGGATCGCCGCAGATAGAGCCGTCAGACGGTCTCCTTCGTCGACGCCCGGCGCAAGACTCACGTTGAAGTATTCCTGGGCGGCGTCGAGGAAGCGGCGTCGGGCATCAAGGATTCGGGCCTGGGAAAGCTGGAAGTAAAGCTTTGCATCGTGATCTTCTATTTTGGAGGGGAGGTTTTTGATGCGGTTGAGGAAGGCTTCGGCGTTGGTTGTGTCATCGTCTTCGAGGTAGTATCGCACGATGCGGATCCAGAGGCGGGCTTTGGCGGCGTCGGTGACTAGGCGCTGCGAGCTGTCGGTGTGGATGCCCTGTAGGGCGCGGGCGGCGGCTGTGTAATCTTCCTGGGATTCGTAGGCGTCTGCGAGGATCTCGCGGATCTGCGAGTCTTGTTCTTCGACCGAGGCGGAGCGCGTGTGGAGGAGGGTGACGGCGTGCTGGCCGACTTTTATTTTTGTTTCCGGAGTGAGGGATTGGAGGACTGTGATGAAGATGTCGAGGAGGGGGCGGGCGGCGACGATGCTCACTTCTTCGCTAAGGATGGAATCTAAGTAGTAGACTAGATCTTGGGCGAGTTCGTGACCGGTGGAGGTTGTTACCATCTCATTGAGGAGGTCGGTGTATTGTTGTAGCTTTGTTGGTTGGTGCGGGTTCGTTTCGATGCCCGCTAGGGCGTTGGTCATCTGTTGGGAGGCCATGCTGGTGGTTGAATGGAGGAGAGATGGCAAAGAGAGTTGCTGTTAGACGCGGAGTGGTGGGGACAGTTGAGCTATGTTGCACTGTTATCGATAAGAGCTGGGCTGGATGTGTACAGGCAGAGAACGATGGAGCTCATTCAATCTGGTCAGAACATAGGGACAATAGATATTACAAAGATCGCATAATAGGAACCTTATAGAGCTAGAAGTCGAATGTCCTCGGGTCTTACACCCTGTGACCGAGGTTGCCCTTGGTATCTTGGCTTCTCATTCACAAACAGCCCTCCAGTTCTGTACGCAAAATAAATACTGCATACCATATCACACAACCTATTGATCTGGATAATTTCTTACCTCCTGTTTAAGTAACTATATGCATAGAGGTACTTAATAGCTAGAAAGATGCAAATTTGTGGTGTTGCTTTGCTCAGGGCCATCCTACACTCTTTTAGTTCCTCGTGTCGAGAAGGATCCTATCGTGATGATTTTCCTAACGATTAATAAGATCCGAACTAGCACAGCTTTCTAGGGCGGAAGCGCAGTGCTTAGAAGCCGGGACCCCGGGATAATGCCCTAACAACTGGCATCGTAATCTACAGCCGTTGCCCTTCTATTCTTCCTTAGGTTTTGCTGATGCTTGAAGGTATCATCACATGTGGAAAGAACGCACCTCACCATTCCTGGTGGGATCAAGGCCTTGGTCTACTATACAGAGATAGTCTCCAAATCGCGAACAGTGTCAATACTATGCGTGGGTAGCTGAGCCATAATACTTCAGTCCAACACACAAGCACCCCCTGTCATATTTCATCCTTGGTGGCCGCGCATACCTGAAAACGAGGCTGGGACATGCGTTGCCATCTCGTGCTTTCTGCCGAGCACGGCTAAATAGACAATGAAAATCATGTAGAAGCGCAACCCGATCTGCAGAAGATCGTGAACTCTGGACTATAAAAGCAACTTGGAGTACAAAGTAAATACGATTGGGGTTGGGGTAGGGTATTGAAACGTGTGTGTAAAATACAAAAGTTACACATACACTGGTACATGGACTGCAGGCAAAATCCGAGGTGAGTCAAGTCTCCGAACTTCAACTTGTCAGCAACCATCTTCGTGTCATCATACGTCCACCAATCACGTTCCAAGAACTCTAAAGCTCAAACAATCTCAGGTTGAATATTACTCTGATCCCACACCATGGCAGAATCCGAAGAAGTTTTGAAGGGCTTCAATGACATTCTCGACTTGAGACAGGCCTACGCCTGGAATGCGGATTCCGTGAGTAGACCGATGTCCATGTGCAGGATAATCACTTACCCTGATCCTAGATAATGAAATTTCTCTGTCATGTTGTCACCTATGGATATCTGTATGATATCCAAGACCACCAAATTCCAGCTCTTAGGGCCATGGTGGCTCGAATTGAAATGCTACGGTAGGGGCTAATTTATATCAAATGCTTACGTGTTCAGTCTGATTTTTGTTTCCGTACAGCCCCCCACAAGGTAATATGTTTGCCTCACCTGGCCTGGAGCCAGATATCTCAATGGGACATGTGTTGAACCCCGGCTGGGACCCATCGATCCAGAAAAGGATAAAAGTTGCCTCAAGATGATTTTATGCACGATGGAGTTCCCTTTCGGGGGCTTTGTGATATATTAGGCTTGCTTCTATCATCGATGGGGAATGCGCCAACTGGGGCAAATTCGCGCACTTTCTACCTCCCGCTCGTGGCTATGTATGGACGGTGGTGCAAAGTGCTTGGGAATCCTCTGCCGTGTCCTACGATGTTCAATTGCACGTGGATAGCAGAGGGAGAAGACCGAGGTCGTTTCTTTATGGGGGCATCCTTTGGACGGTACAAGCAAGCAAATCCCTCATGGACCCAGGCAGTCAAAGAAGCAAGGTTTTCTTTAATAAATGATGCGGACATGGTATTGAAGGGATACACTATGGTCAATTGTCCCGCCTCCGGGAAAGGGATTTGGTTCGGAAACTGCGCCGAGGTATATCCTCTACTGCACATGTTGAAGTGAGTTTATCCTGGGGTCCATGCGTATAGTACCATCGCTAATAAGATAGGGGCAATCCCAACCCGGGCGCTGTGTATGGAATAGCTGTGCATAGGAAAGGTGTGCTCCACAGCAATTATGAAGATGGTGTCTCGGGATGGGCTTGGAAAGCCGTACGAAGGTTGTGTGCTAACTGTGAGGAGCTCGTACGGATGTGGGGTGGATTGCCGGCTAACTTCGAGCCATTTGCCGATGTAGGTTGCAGCCACTGCACCGTTGACTACTAATTTGATACCCCAATTGAGTGCCATGGCTACATGATAATCTTTTTACCTACAACACGGTGGCTGGAAAATATCCTAGAAAAAGAGATGCAAAAAGAGACAGAAAAAAACACATCCAGAAAGAACAGCCAGAAAAAACATCGGAGTGTTGTTATGACCTCCTTAATATCAGTTTGAGCAATCTTCCGTTATCGGCCTGCCTTGTCTGATGCCATGGCACCGCGCTATAGTCTGACCCCACCTGAGTCAGGCCCCTTCCAGTCTCCCATGTCTTCTATTGAATTGAGATTTGTGGTCCAGCCTGGGACAACGGTGAACTGGTAGGTAGATCAGTGTATCCATATAGCGAATATCAACGTATACTATATCACTCACAGTCGGTAAATGCATCAAGTTAGTAGCAGGAGAGTTGTCAAGTATGATAGTTCTTAAGACGCTGATAGATATGAAGGTTACTAGAGGAGGCCTTGGAAAGGTTCTAAAGATTCACTCGGCCTAGAGAGTTAGATATGCTCCGGAGCCTCGTTCGGGATTAGATTAATGTTGAGCATTTGAATATAGCTATGCACCAAATGCTAGTATGTAGGTAAAGAGTCAGCCGATGAGCACATCGTCATGCATTCAAATAGAGCTGGGTTTCACCGCCTACCATATCGGGTAGAGTGAATAGCTCCAGACTTGGGTGGCGCGGACTTTGTCACTCAGATGCGCTTTTCACCCCATCCACCATTTTCTCTCCCGATAAATTCAGTGCTGCCCCCCACAGTCGCATTTGCTTTACCACCTCCTGCTCTGAATCCCGGCTGCCCTCGAGCTATCCTGCACCCAGTATGGCGCAGGTCAAGCAAGACCCTGATCGCCCGTACTTCAAGCAAGACCCCGACAGCAAGGATATTGCCCTTGGGGATATAGATGAAGAAGATCTCTACGAAGATGCTGGGGACTTGGACTTTACACAGGCAGGTCAGAACGTATGGCTTTCCCGTCTGCCTCGATCGCTTTGGGAGCACTGGGCCCACCTGGACGATGACGAAGAGATTGAGGTTGGTATCATGAGAGTGGAGGGGACACCGAACAACATCAAGAGGGTGAGTGGATGTATGTGTGCATGCAGTGTGGCTGGCAGATTCTGACATCCGTCCGTTACTCAGGTCAGTTTGCGCCTACATGATCGCCCAGATAATCGAGAAATTCCCAAGGACTACACTCTCCAGCGTCAAACGGTCGATCCATCAGGCACCGGATCACACCTCACCCACAATACGTACCTCTTCACCGAGAAGGATATTCCCGGTGTCGAGAACCGCATGGCGACATTTGGAGAAACGCGCTCGGTTTTGTACGAAGCCCAGAAACGTGAAGCGAAGCGGCGAGAACAGGGAAAAAGATGGGAGCCCTATGTGCGAAAGACGATACCTAGTATGTCCCATTACAGTCATGGCGAGGCGTGTTTGCTGACAATTCTTAGAACACACTGCCCTCGCTGGCGCGGTCAGTGAAGAATTCAATTGCCTTCCCGTAGAGAACGAAGAGTTCCGACGGATCTCCGAGAAGCGAGCGCTGGAAGCCCTTAAACCTCGAAAGGAAACTGTCTTCATTGATAAGATTCCCGGGAAGATTATCCAGGCGCGTCATGCTCTTCCCACCGAGAGAGGACAATTTGTGGTATGTATTTTGCATTTCTGCTTCTTACTGAAGGCACGATCACTCACCCAGTCTGCAGCAAGCCACGCGACCTTCCAAAGGAAAAGCCCAAGAGAACAAATCCACCCGCATGCCGCAGAACGAGCTTCTGGATCTTATCTTCCAGTGCTTCCGCGAATTCAAATACTGGCCCTTTAAGACACTTAAGGCCCGATTGGCACAGCCAGAGGCCTATCTCAAGCAGACTTTGGAAATGGTTGCGCACCTTGTCAAGGCTGGTGATTTCGCTATGACTTGGGAACTGAAGCCCGAGGCAACCCACAGCCAATACTCAAATGCGATGGACAATGCAAAGGCAGAGTTGCCACCAGGAGTTGATGATCTTGAGTCCGAGGATGATCCAGCGTCTGGAATGGATCAGGATGATGTTAAATTTGAGGACGTCTAAACAAATACAGAAAATGAGGGCTTCCATATGTTGCATAAGCAGGTTCCTGGCGTTAAATTTTGGCTTTCAAGGAGAGGCCGGGAGTTTTGGGATAATTCGGAAAATATTCATAAATTGAAATGAACAAATGAGTTACATACAATGTTGGACTTAGCCATAAGCAGTAGTCCCTTTGATTGGTAAATTTGAAGCTCACATCTGTTTAGTTTCGAGGTGACCATAACCTAAGTATCTCCTGGGGCTAGTTGGTCTCAACTAAATTGCACATTTATATATATTGTTCGGCACAAGGTTTCGCATGTCGACCCACTGATGCGAGACCCCAATTTGTCGGCCTGGAAGCATCTTTAATCGACTACCTTCAGTGTAAGCCTTGGATGATCTGATAGGCATGTGGTAGAGCCGTATGCCCACGCGTTGCGAACTATAGTGGCAGCGTGTCCGCTTCCATGGGGTCGGTTTTCAGCAAGAAGGTACTTTGTACATTGCTTGCTCATTGCTGGCATAGATCTTGCGAGTACAATAGCAATTACTGAGTCCATTGGGCAAGAATGCTTTCTTCTCAGTCCTGAAGTGGGTTTTTTGTACTTCTACGCGAGGTGTGAAGTATTTTGTAGGGTGACTGTTCAATCAGGCGTGGAGCTGCTTTCTAATGATGCTAGAATTCGACGTGAATCCTAAAGCAAGTTTTCTTTTGGCCTCAGGTAGCTGCACAGGCCTCAAAGAGGCGTTTGTCTGTCTCAGCTTATTCCGTGCTGTTTGGCCTGATGGTTGGTGACCTCGGCCACCTGAGCAGCACGGACCTCTTCGCCACACAGTTTTCAAGCCTAAGGCACTAAATATATGCAAACACTACAAATCAACTTCTCGGATCACACCAGCGCTAAATCGGGCGCGTCTTTGCTGCTTCCTCCGCATCACCGCCTCAGAACTTCTTCTGAAGTACCCCCAGCTTTTGATTCTAATCTGAAAACCCCTCAGATATCTGTACTGTCATCCACTTACCATAGCTAGCTCCATAGTCACCATGAGCGAAAACGACGATCTCCTGGCCAAGATCGGCCAGCTTGCAGGTGCGCTCAATATCAACTCACTATCGACACAAAGCTAACATGAGAAGGCCAAATAAATCGCTATAAGACGCAAGAGACACATCCAGCTAACCAGCAGTCTCAATACGTGTCTCGCCATACCTCTTCTCACCCAGGATGGGCCCCATACTACCGGGGCCGCGGCCGAGGACGTCGAGGAGCAGCTGCTCCGCACCGGCACCGTACGCTTGTTTTGAACACCGTGGGTGCTGGCGCAGGTCCTAGTGCCAATTCGTCCCCCGCCCCGATAAGTGGGAACAATAGTGCAGTGGTTCCGACACCATCGTCGGCTGGCAATGGCTGGGTTGTAAAGCACGATCGCCACATGCAGCTGATCAATCCTGCTGTCTACGATCGGAAAACACAGGACAGAACGAAGGATATGGAACGAACGCGCAAGCTTAGAGAACAGAAAAAAACCGAATATGAAAAAGCAAAGGTGCTTCGATATGCACAGGGTCCGGGTGCTGGTGCAATGGTTTCTACCCCTGCAAACCCTGCATTTGGCCACCATATCCTTGTCAATGATGTTGCTTTCAGGGTTGCAAACGGCGGAAGCAAACTGATTCGTATTTCGAGTGCGTGTTCCCGTCGCTCTTCCCCTCGAATTGGCTTACCCTTCATAGATGACCCTAGGACTGCCAAAAACACCCCTAAGCGCGTCACAGTCGCCGATGTGTCCTTTGTGCGAAGCAAAAATGGCAACCTGCACCGTCTTGGTGCCGTGGCTATGAAGAAGTGAGTTTTGATTCGAGCAATGGCTACCTTTGTACTGATCTTGCCATAGGAATCACACTGTTAAGAAACGCGACGAGCTCTGCAAAAGATTCACAACAACCGGTATTTTGTTTTCCGACAGGCCATACTGCCATGTTCCAAAACATCAGCATGTCTAGAAACTAATCTTCTTTTTTTCCCAGGCACATGCTACAAAGGCCCGACCTGCCAATTCGTCCACGACCCAAGTAAGGTTGCTATGTGCAAGGACTTCCTCCAGACAGGCCAATGTGCCGCAGGTAGTAGCTGTGATCTATCCCATGAGCCCTCGCCCCACCGCTCCCCCACTTGTATGCATTTCCTTAGGGGACGCTGCGCCAACCCGGAATGTCGCTACGCCCACGTCCGCGTGACACCCGGTGCCCCCGTCTGCCGCGCCTTTGCAACACTAGGATATTGCGAGAAGGGCGAGGCGTGTGAAGAGAAGCACGTCCACGAGTGCCCAGACTATGCCAACACCGGCGCTTGCCACAAGAAGCGTTGCCAGCTGCCGCACGTCGACCGTGCGGGCCAGATCCGCAAGGCTGCTGCGGCTGCTGCTAGTAAAGCAGATTTGGGTGAGGATGACTCTGACCCCTCTAGCGAGGAAGAGAATTATGACGCCATTGATTCGGACGACGTTGACTCGGATGCATTCGATGACACACCCGAAGAACTGATCGAAGGTGTGGATAGCGGTGAGATGTCGCAGCAGCAAGACTTTATCCGCTTCTAAATCCTAAATCATGCCATTTGTAGTTGATTGGATAGTTGTTTTTCTTGCTTTTCGTTTGTTTTGCCCATACCCCGGAAGCATTTCGAAAGCATCCAGTTGAAAAGAATTTGAAAAAAAAGAACTTGAACATCTTGAAGTTTCTTTCTCCATGAGTCCTTTATCCCTTAAATTCTTCGTTGATTGATCACGTTTTGCACATGTTGACATGGCGCTGGGTATACTTCGGCAACCAGCCCGTGCCGAGCCATGTGATTATAATAGAAATAACTGGCAGAGCCCATGTCCTGCTGACTAGTGGCATGAAGTAGGAAGTTGTATGATCGTAGAGGCATCAATAAGCGTTATTATTGCATGTTTTTTGGGATATATGTTGTACATGGACTCGTGCCGTAGGGAACACATGAAATCCGCACCCCAGGATATCCTTCCGAGACCTACAAGGATGACCCCCAAGCCTGTGGAACTCGCTGAAGCCACAGAACCAATACGGTAAGTAGGCTAAGCAAAACATGGCTAGGGCCTAGGATAATTTGCGTACTTTTTGATCGTAGTGTGTATCTAGTATTCTGACTACACGAGTGGGGTGGCATATTAGTGCCCTAAAACTGCCAAGTATACATGTAGAGGGGTACAAATTAGCACCTAGTGAGATAGGCAGCAACAATACGAGTTTTGGCCTCAAATATCAAAGCCGAGAGTACAAAGTAAAGTCATATGTACTAGTCCAGTTCAATTAAAAAACAATTACAAACATGTAGCGTCGTGATCAATGCCACTACTTTAATTGGGCAAGTCGAGAGAGCGACTATCGAATGGAGCCAGCCAGTTCTTTGTCTAAACGGCCAATGTTCTATGTCCAGCCAGAATGAGTAGTACATGTATCCTTGGAAATAAAGTTATGCAATGTTGGCGGGCTATAGTTGGAATCATCCTGGGCTTTTGGCAATCCTACAAATCTGCATCACCAATAGTTGGAAGCTTCGGCGGCTAAGTCAAGCAACACATACCAACCCGTACCTATCAATGCTATCTTGTGCTGTTTTTGGCTCTTGAGATTTGTTGGATTGTGGGGTTAACCATTGTACTGCGTCGGAATCGTCTGTTGGGCTTTAGTGCAGGACACATGGTCTACTCAAATTAAGTCCGGCAACGTCATTGAACAAAAGAATATGAATCTATCGGACGAGACTAGCAGTAGAAGGAGATTGTGACTCAGTTTGCCCGAGATACTGAGTAATAGCTTCATGGTCCCAAAATTGAGATCATCGCAGGTTGTTGGCACACCTATTCGAAACCGATTCCGACGACGTGTTGGCTGGCCATAACCGCAACAAGCGACAGAAACTGCCAAATTCTCTCATCCATATCTAGCTCTGCTACAAAATGAGTCATTGCACCGGTGAAGGAAGGTTCTCGGCATAGAAATCAAGTGTCCTTCCTCCGACGGGTCCAAGACAAGAGAAATTCCCCGATAGGCAGGCTACAGCCATGAAAAACGTCAACGACTACCGGATCCGGCATGTGGAGCATAACAAGAACTCAGTATGGAGTAATGAGGATATGATGGCTCAGTCTCACCCAATCCTAGGCACTGGGCTGCCCCCATATGATGTGCCCAATGTACGGCATATCAGGCAGGTACAGGTTGAAAGTGAGGCTTTGAGATTATATGTGGTCTAGCTTGCACCGGGGATATTTCTTAGGGGCCCTTGGGCACATACAGCGTAATGTGTTGTGTATTGAAGTTGTAAGGATCCGTGCAAGAGGTGGGCCGTCGGCTACACATGTACATGTTAGAGGGAGAGTGGAGCAGTGGACCTGCCATGGTCTTCTAGCTTGTTCAGAGAAGGTAGATCGCCAGTTTCATTCTGAGTGGTTTCAGCTTCACCGCAGGAGGGGCGAAAATGTAAGTCTTGCATTGTGGAGGGTATGAAGTGCTGAAAGTGGTAGTCTATACGGAGTACACAAGGCAATAACCCTGGTACTGCACCTGGCTTCTCAGACGGTTGTTCTGTATGTTGTAGAAGCGTCATTGGCGAACAGAAACAAAAGTGCTATCCGGTTCCTTCCACTGGAAAAAAAAAATTGCCTGTCTATGACTAATGCAGCAATGAACCCGTGGACGGGGTGACTGATGGCAGACTGGATCTCCATTGGACAGACTTGGATTTTTCACCGCCAGGTCTTATCCGGGCCACCTTGCCCACCCGCTGAGTTGCCGCGCAGGCAGGTGACAGACCTATCATTATCACAGTCCCTGTGCTGTGTACTATGTATAGACTGCGAACAGACTCACTGGTTGCCGCCGAGGGGTGTGTGCTCCGGGGAATTGTCGAGACGAACTGATAGGAACAGGAACAGGAACAGGAACAAGAACAGGAACAAGAACAGGAATAGGAATAGGAACAGAAACCGGGTCTGCGCTTTGGGCGGCAAGGCCAGAAATGGGGCCTATTGAAAGACTGGAACTATGGAAAATTAAGAGGGAAAATACAGGTGTGTGACAGTCCAAGTTTTATCTTGCTACATTTTGTAGATTCTGGTATGTTGAGGCAATAATGGTGATAGATTAGGGATGTTCACCCCGCAGGACAGCGACAAGCCGGAAGGCACCCGTCAAATACGATGGTATCATATCCCCTGCACTCCACATAGTCGATCACGGATTAAATGTGGTCTGTGAGCACGTAAGAGTTGGAAAGATGGCTGCTGCAGCCATATGGGAGCTGCATAGAGCTGCAAGTAGATCACGGCAAGATTCAACAGGATCAGGCGGGTGGATGCTCGAACCAAGCCCTCATTCTCGGCGGAGCTTTATCCTCCAAGGTAGTTCCACATAGGTATTTTGATTTCGGAGGGGCGAGGTCATCATCTGGATGGGACGAGTGATCAGTGCATCGCATCCGTGCTTTTGGTTTTTTTTTTTTCACTTCTTTCTTCCATCCATGGTCGGCCCAACAGTGGATCAGCGGGCCGAGCCCGTCCCAAAGATTCATTCTATAGAAAAAGTATCCAAGACCATGTGAAGGAAGGAAATAGTAACGAATCCCAGAATAATGAGGAAAATCCAGAAAAAAAGCAAAAGCTGAAGCTGCTATGGATTGCAGCCCAAAGGGAAGGTCACATTGACTCGGGAATGATTGGCTGTTAGCAGCAGATAGAACGGAGGATGACAGTTAGACTGGACATCTGACCATTCACGGGTGCTGAGTTTAGTACAGAAAAGGTACAGAAAAATACCAAAAAACAAATATTTTAAGTAGACCTGCAGGTCAAGTTCTATGTAGCAATTAGTATTCTACCTAAGCGCCGTGAATAAGGTATAGCACAGACCATTTAACTCCCCACGACAGGGATTGTCTCAAGCCTGCGGAACGAGGATCGATCGATAGGCTATCGTTTATCGATAAGCACAGCGTCTGATTTCCCCCACTCGAGATTTTCTGCTGATGACTTTGGGTTCACGGAGTATGTTATACAGGAGAGAAAAAGGGTAATCGTGTAAAAATTCATAAGTGTATGGAGTACATACTTTGTATCAGTTTTGCATAGGTACATATTTAATACTCCATACCTGTAAATGAGTGAATAAATGCCAGCATTACTATCGAGACTGGGTCAACAAAACAAAACTAAAACACAGGAAAAATCTTCCAAGAAAATCCGAAATAAATTAAACCCCAAATAGAAAATTAAAGCCGAATAACCCAAAAACCAACCAAAATAATCAAACATCAACAGATGCAGGTCTGCCCAAGCAAAACAATGCAGCCAATAACGGAGATGCTGTCCCGGGGGCCACTCTAACAATCCCGGGCAGACCGCTGGATGAGTACTTGGTACTTGATCGACGGGTTGTTCTCTATTACTTACATCGGTACTTGGTACTTGTGGGTTCAATGTCAACCGCACGAGCACTGCGTCTGTTCATACATAGCCTGTTCCCCCCCGGAACTAGATCACAGCATATTTCCCCCTCTTCACAATTATATCGTCATCTTCATACTCTTTTCCACTATTCTACTTACCAGTTTCCCTCGTTGGGGATTTTCCTTCTGTACCAATTCCTCTATAAATCATCGTCTATCCCCCGCCCCGCTCGTCTCTTTTGCACACACACACACACACCGCCTCTTCATGATGGCACAATATTTCCAGTCTGAATTCTACCAACAATCACCATCAACATTAGACGTGGCACCGGAAGACGACGAGATGAGCGTATTAGACGACAAGATCCTGGACCCAAATTCGGAAGACCATCCTGACAACCGTCGCGCCTCCTACGACACCACAGATGCCTACTCACATCGTGATTCCGTCTGGTCCAACTACTCAAATGCCAGCTCCAACCAGTCGCAGTCAAATTCGCACTCGCAAATTGGACACGCCATGCTGAACTCAACGGGTGCCCCGTTCATGCCCGTTGACGGCCCGCAATCAGTTTCCTACCCGCAGGCATCGTGGCCCATGCCGCGCACAGATTCAGACTCATGTGCCCCGACCGTGGGCTATGATCAGTATGCTACCAATGGAGACCAGGGTGCCATCACTCCGTTCTCTGGTGGTGCGGTTGGACCTGTCGGCGCTATGCCCATGAACCCCATGTCGTACCGTGGAGGTATGGCATTTGCGACTCCTGGCAGTGTCACCATGTCACCACAATCAAGCCAAGGCTGGATGCCGGCGCCGATGGACCTCGCTGAGGCAGAGTTGCACTCGAGGAAGAGCCCGAATTACCGCATTGCCTTGCCATTGAGGCGGGGAGATGGGATTCGGAAGAGAAATTCCCGAATTGAAATCTCCCCCGAACTGAGCTTGGCCAATATCGACGAGGCTATCCGGGAGTGCACAGATGAGGAGAAGAAGAAGGAACTCAAGGCAAACAAACGACTGTTGCGGAATCGGGATGCAGCGTAAGTTCAGATTCGCGGGTTAGGTTGAACCAGATGCTAATTTCGTTGCAACAGGCTGCAATCTCGTCAACGCAAGAAGAAGGAAGCCGAGGGTAATATAGAGAAACTCAAGCAAAAGGACGAGATTCTCGCGCAACAGGCTGCAAAGCTCGCACAACTGGAGGAGAATTTCCAGAACATGCAAAGGGCAATGAAAACCGTAGAATACGAGAATCACCAGTTGTCCGCCTACAATAGGCAGTTGACTGAGCACATCCAACGCCAGGATATGGAGAAAGATGAAGCTACCCTCAGGCACACGCGGGAGACCGCCACTCTGCTGAAGAGAAACAACATGCAGGAGGAGATCATCAAACAGCTGGAGCGCGGCGTCAAACCCGCCCCAGAAAACCTGTCTGGCGACTTCACCGGCTTCGAGAACCCCGCCATGGAAAACCCCTCATGGGACGACTTCTCGGCGGTCACTGGACCCCCCTTGCAACCGGAATATGTTCAAGCTTCCCGTCAGGCTAGCCAGCAGGTGAAGGTCCCGGAGAAATCCAGTAACGGATCAGACCTGCCGATTAGCTGGAACGCATTCTACATGTTCCTGCTTGTTGGTGCCTTCTTCGCATCGAAGAGTACCTCCCTACCGGGCCGCTCCCTGCCCCAACTTTCCGAAGAGTACCGGGCCGAGTCAGCCAACGTGCTGAAGGCCGTGCTAGCCTCTTCACCTGGCCACGAGCTAACCCGCCCCCACTCCATCAATCATGCGACATCAACCGGACCCGCACCGGCCACCATCAGTGGTATGGAGATGGCGCAGATGAATTCCGTGCAACCCGTGCCCTCGAATCTTGACCAGATGCATAACACGCTCGTCATGCCGACAGAGGAGCAGGAGCGCGAACAAGTGTTCTCAATGGACGCGGACCAATATAACTCCCTGACGACGTTCGAGGATAATAGCGGGGACTTCAAGCCACAGCAGGCATCTACCCTGCAGCAGGCGTTTGCTGCAATGCGGGACACCGTAGCGCAGCAAAGTCGGATGCACTCCGCTTTGTCTTCGGATGTGTATTCCAGATCATTGATGTGGGACCGAGTGCCTGAAAAGGTTGTTCGGGACTTCCGTCGTATGGTGCAGGGTCATGGTTATGATACTCCTGTCAAGGAGGAAGGTATTTTCCACCCTTGAGGTTTTCCTTTGAGGGTTAGCCTTGCGATTTTCGACAGGACGATTTTTCTTGAGTCTTACTGTTTTTGGGCATTTCTTACGATGCCACGCTTGGCACTGCTTGATCTGTCCCATTTCTCTGCTACTTTTCTTGCATTTCTTGTGACATTCTGACGCGGATTGTTGCTTGATCTGACTCTTTTCCGTTTTTTTCTTTCTGAAAAAATCTGGGTCAGCAATGGCCCTTGAACTATTAGCGTGCAACAGTAGATCACGCAACCCACCTCACTCTTCTCTTGTTTGTGTATGTTTTTGATGTCGATTTTTTTTTCTTTCTTTCTTTCTTTCTTTCTTTCTTTTCTTTGAGTGTGATCTCAGGGTCAGGTTCACTCGGGCACAGGGGGCTTTGTTTAGCGATGTGATGATTTTAGCGATTGGCTTCGAAGCGTGTTTTTGTTTCTTGTTTTGACCGATGGAGAGAGGAGCTATATTATACGAACGACAGGGCGGAAACCCGAATTATGTGTTTATGTATACAGATCTTGGATTCTCCCTGCCAACCGGAATGAAATTCTGGGTATGGGATACGAGAAACGAACCGAGTTATGAAGAAACCCTTGCATTTGGCGACTTTGAATTCAACTGTGCTTACTATGACTTGTTTAATGAGAAATGTTTTATGTTACTACTGAGCGATCGGGGGAAAGTATCACGCCTCGGAGATAGAAATGGGAGATGGTCTCATGCTTTCGAGCTGGATGAAACTAGCTTTTCCTATTTTTCATCGGTCTTCTTTAGTTCAACTCTTAGTCCCTGGAAATCCTAGTCTAGTTTCTCTAGTCTTAGGACACGGCTCGCAAGGTGGTCTTAGCCTGAGTGAATTTGTGCTGAACCCACAGATGGGCGGTTGCAACGCTAGGGAACGATATAAAGAAATGACAATGTGATGTCTCACCATGCGACAATGGTCGACAACTACGCTAATGCACATGCACATACTTGCTTTTTTTTTTCTTCTGGTAATACCAATACTCCTGAATAACAGACGCCAACGTTCAGTCTGTAGCTCTTGGCTTCTTCTGTAACTTGATGTATGCTCTTGAAATAATACCCGATTTATTACCAGTGGCGTGCATGCATTAGTGTAGATCTAGGCCAGTCTTGGTACATGAAGTGTGCCATACCACTGTAGGTAACTGCTATTGTTTAATCCACAATTGGCTCGGCTTTAGCCGACTCAGTACATTCTTTCCGCGTGTGGCGACAGTAAAATCTCTCTCAGAGATCAGTACGGAGTATCTTGATCTTATCCACTCGCCGCATAAATTGATGGAACGACTAGGTTCAGCCGTTTCGCACGAACTTCCCTTTTAAGTAACGTTCCCTCGATAAAAAACCGCGATGCCAGGGTTCGACCCATCTGTAATCTCAGTTCAAGGACCTTGGGGGAAAATCATGGCAAACACACCCAATCATTACCCCAAGATGTGGTCCACTTTGACCCATTTTGATCCACCTCGATCCACTTACAAAAAATTGTGTCCAATGCTTAACATCCGCCCCAAGCTTTGACAAGAAAATTATCCAGGCCTTTGTTTTCAAGAAAAAATCCTGTTTAGGGCTGATTGTTGCTCCCGCCTGGGCATTTGATGCCCCGAAAGACGCAGGGAGCATAGAGTTCGCACAGTAACATACCGTGCAGATCGGGTACTGTTGATACCGATGGGGTACTGTCAGATTACAAAGAAGAGCTTGTACTCCCAATACAACCGATAATACCGAAGTACAGACTAACCACTGGAGCTAACATGACTGGGACCGACCAACCCCCAAGGTCCTCACTACAAGGGAGGACCCGAAGAGACGCCTGAATTTTTTTTTTCTCCTCTGATATAACGATATAAAACGGCCAGACAATCCCTGCAATTTGCAGGTCAAGATCGTCGTGTTTTTTTCCCACTCTCAGTCTTGCGAGACTTTACTACGACTTCTCCCTTCAAAAGTCAGGGCACGATCTATCAACACCGCCGAGATGTCTTTCGATCCTCAAAATGTCAACCTGGATACAGCCGATCCAACTGAGATTGTTTGCTACCTCAATGCTGGGGACAACGAATACAACGGCCGGCTAGGCGCGCGTATCTCCGCCATCTTTGTGATCATGATTGTCTCTTCAGCGGCGACCTTCTTCCCCGTGGTTGCATCACGTCTGCCACGCCTGCGTATCCCAATCTACGTCTACCTCTTCGCCAAGTACTTCGGTGCCGGCGTCATTATCGCCACGGCCTTCATCCACCTTCTCGATCCCGCATATGGCGAAATCGGTCCCAACACCTGTGTCGGAATGACCGGTCACTGGGCAGACTACTCCTGGTGCCCGGCAATCGTATTGGCGTCGCTGATGGGTGTTTTCCTCATGGACTTCGGTGCCGAGCGCTACGTCGAAGTCAAGTACGGTGTCTGTCGTGTTGACCCAGAACCTATGATGGCGAGTGGAGGTGAAGCGGCCCGCGTCGACTCGCCCGCCTCGGCACGCAACGTAGACGACAAGCAAATCAAGGAGGTTGAGGCGCAAACTAACGAGCTGGAGATCGAGCGCTCGGTTAGACAGCAGCTTGCTGCACTGCTGATTCTGGAGTTCGGTGTCATCTTCCACTCCGTCATTATCGGTCTGAACCTTGGTGTTGCCGGTGATGAGTTCTCGACCCTTTACCCTGTTCTCGTCTTCCACCAGTCCTTCGAGGGACTCGGTATCGGAGCCCGCATGTCCAGTATCCCCTTCAAGAAGGGAAGCTGGTTGCCGTGGTTCCTGTGCACTGCTTACGGCCTGACTACCCCCATTTCCATTGCTATCGGTCTTGGTGTCCGTACTACTTACAACCCTGGCTCCTACACGGCCAACGTTGTTTCCGGTGTGCTCGACTCGATCTCCGCCGGAATCTTGGTTTACACTGGTCTTGTTGAGCTTCTTGCTCGTGACTTCTTGTTTGACCCTCACCGCACTCAGGACAACAAGCGCCTGACCTTCATGGTGGTGACTATGCTTCTTGGTGCTGGTATCATGGCTCTACTTGGAAAGTGGGCTTGAACAAAAAAAAAAATTTGGTGTTAGAGATCCGAAGATGGTGTGTGTCTTTGGTGACAGATGTGTGAAGTGTAAAATTGTGATCTGTGATGTCAGATATAAATTGGTTATAATTGGTAACTAGTATAATTGTTAGTTTAATTTAGTTTCGAGACAAATGATACCCAAGGTGGGCAGGTTTTGTGATGAGCTTTTTTCATTTTTCATTTTACATTCCCGTTCTTTGTTTTGTTGCCTTCTCACACAGGTATGATAACAACGATGCTTATGCCTGCTGAGTAGCGATGTTACAGCGATCGCCAGCGAGGACAACCCCGCCAGATTCTTATACAGAAGTGGAAAAAGGGCAGGTATGGAGAAGGCTCTCGGTCATGCGGAGCACAGTAACTGGACATGTTCTTGCACCCCTTGTCCCCCCAGCCCCCTAGTTTTACATGCACCATATGCTGCCGTCCAAAAACCTCCATGAATTCAAAATCCAGCACAGTCAGACCCTGTTAAATTTGAAGGATTTTCGGAGAGCCAATTCTTTGAAATTAACGGGGTTTCCAAATAAATGGGGATCTTGGCATTTTAGGTTACTATGTTGTAACTAGGTGGGATTCACCCATCTCCACAGCGGATCTACTAGCGCCCAAACATCTACCCACACTTAATGAATGTTGTTTTATTACATATGGATAGATGATAGCACGATAAAAAATGGTTAGAACTAGACTATACAAAACCGGATATCTCACTACAGTGCAGAGAGCAATTTCAGATCGCCTTGGGAGAATCGCGTATCTCATGGAAAGCTTTTGTATTTGTAGGAGCATCTATATAGATGGTCATGCCGATGATTTAATGCATGAAATCCAAAGAGCGGCGACGGAAGTGGTATGACTATCACATTGACCACCTTCAGTGTGGGGGTCGGGGATTCCTAGTAGACTGTTATATATATAATGTAACGTATTTCACAAGCGAGTCGGCCCTCATAAGCGGGTGGGCCGGCTAAAAACGTAGCGTAAATGCGATAGATCACAACTTGATATCTTAACATCGGTGGTCTGAAGTGGGGTTTCCTAGCAGCTAAAAGCTTTTCAACTGATACCTGGCCTATCTAAAGAATTTCGAAAAATTTCAGGACCTCTTGGAAGACAACATTTTCGTTTTTCACAAGGTGATTTTCGGTAATCTTGGAACTGATGACCGAACGGCCTTCTACTTTCTTTAACCTTGGTACAGGGTGCTAAGATACCTTGTCAATAGCTATCCAATAAGAATGAAACCCAAAACAGGACGTGCTTGTTAAGATGTAAACTTGGAAAATATCCCATAGACTTTCAGAGTGGCCCACTCGCTAACTACGTGATGACTTTTGCATTATCTAATCGAATTTGAGGCCGTCTCTACCCGGCAGAATCTGGGCTTAAAAGGCGGAAGACAGAATAAAAAAGCCAATGATGAGAAGGAAAGTTGGGAAAACCGAGAGGGCTAAGCCTAATTAGGCAACCTTGACGCTCTTAGCGATGGTTAAAAAAAAAAGGTTTGGGAGCAAAGTCCTCGAAAGTGATCCGGATTTACAAAAAAGTGGGGTCGATTTTCACGGGGGTTTGGCTGTACAATATATGATACATACCACCCGCTGCAGAGGTGGGGATGAATCCAAATTGACAGTGAGCCAAGTGGGGCCACAGACCTCATCTCCGTGGATGGCTGTAGATCTTGGTCGAAAAGACCAAGTGATAGACGCCGAAAGAAGAACACAGCCTACAACATACATTGTCATTACCATCACAGGGACCCCTGTCCATCTCCTGTCATGTCTCGGAATCTGTTTCATATGCACCGCCTAGACTAAAATGGCACGTTTGGGTATGTTGAAAAATGAGGGGGGGGTTTTTTTTACCGCTCGATGTTGCCCTCGTGTACGGAGTAAGTTTCGCTGTTTTACCGTTCCGCCGTGATAGCCAGTATTTTGATCACTATTATAATAAAACCCATGCATACCCGAATCAAATGAGACAGAGTGAAATGCTCGTTCAACCGAGGTCTTCGTAATAGCCACATTGCCACACAATACATGTATAGCTCTGGTTGACGAGTGAATTTAACTACCATGACAAAGGTCCTAAGGTCGTTCTACTTTAATATATAGCTTCTTTCGCCTATATCAATCTCCCAGATTCATATAGAAACTTTTATACTTGACTAAATTTCATTCCGAGACAGCCGCTGCTACTCTCGGAGAGCGACCGTCTGAGAGATGGACCGAGCTTTTAAAAAAGTGGGGATTGATCCACAGGGAAATTTTACCTCATTGGTCAATTCTGACTCAGCCTCCTTGTAACTGTGGGAGGAAATCCGAATTTCAGAACGGGGAAATTTCGTTATTACGATGGCAGATTAATTGAAGCACCAAGGATTCGTTATATCAGCTTGCTCTATAAATAGGTAATACTGTACTTCCCTACGCTAAAAGAAGTGTCCCACAGTTTTCGCGGTTTGAGCATCATCTTGAATTGGAGAGCTAGCTTCACCTTGGTCTGCACGGAATTCATGCTGTTCAGGTCCAAACCTCCCCTACAGTTATTCAATTTCGCGAATAGGGATGGGAAGGAGGAGTTGGAACATTCGTGGTAGTAGGTAGTCCTATAATCTAATTAAGAATTCGAGGAGGATACTTTAGACCCTTGGGATGATGTAAACAATATTACCGTCTGCGTGACATGTTTGTAGTTGAAATTCGGGAAAGGAGCCGCAGGCTCCGGCGAGAGAAGATTTCTTGTCCGCATATATATCGTAAGAGCTACGTACATGATTGAGCTACACCCCAAGCGACAGCCTCGACTACGGCTCAGGAGGGCGTCGCGTGTTTGAAGGAGAGGATCTAAGTTGCTGATCGCTTTCTCTCTCCGCTTATTCATTGATCCTGGGATCGTATTGGATACTAGGCAGCTTCAGAATTTGTCCGACCATACCGATAACCTGTTCGGGGATCGGAAGCCCCCCAAATATAAATCAAATTTTCACTCCTTGACATGATGGCCGATCTCGTTCCCTTGGACTGAGAGGGGAGCTGAAAACTCCAGCAAACCCACAACCACAAATCAAGTCCCGAGAATGTGTCGTAGAAGTCTTCTCCTCCAGATTGTTGATCCATATGTCTGTCATGAAATACAGCGCTTGCTTGCATTCACAGCAGTCTGCTACGAGAGCAACTTTGGCGAGCATCCCAATGGTCAGCTTGCACGGTATGTTGCAGTATTTGCCATGAATAGCACGTAGTAGAATCAAGAACGCTTCCCTGTCCCAGTTCTCTGCGGTGATTTCAACTGAGCCTTTTTGCAGGTAAGTAATGCTTTCCTTCAAAATGCAGGTGAGGACTTTTTGGAACACCGAAGACGCAGCCATCAAATACTTCGCGGAGACTGCAGTGTAGAAGCAAGTCTTGGCAAGTGGATCAGCAGGTTCATTGACAGTAGGTAGGGCCTTTAGCAGCGCGGTCTTTGATCAGTGCTGGTTCAGAAGAGGTCCGAATGGTACTCAATTTCTTTTTCCTTTTATTCATCAACCTTAGTCTCTTCACGCTAGATTTTGATGGTTCGATCACTTTTAGCGGGACTTTAGACATAGTGACGGGATTTAAGAAGAGTCAATCCAGATACCGCATCTCCAAGCGCTTGTGCAAAAGGAGATTCTGCATCGCGCAAGATTATGATCACTTCCCCATCTGGATCGGTGATATGAGTTGATCGTCTGTAGTAGTAGGACAATCTCTTCCATGGGAGAGGGTTAAATGAGGCGAAGGTTGTAGTGGACAGGGAGGGAGTGTGGGAGTGGACCAGGAGAAGTACATTGCCGGATCTTTGTCCTGCCCGTTGCGTGCCTGAGGTGCATGATACTGTACAATCTCTCATTGATTGCGGAATATACTATATTAACTATATGTACGTAGGGTGACACAAGATGGCTAAGTTAGGCTGTTTGTCATCTGACCTAATAGAGATAGATGTGTTCATCTAAAGTTGCAGGGATATCTATTTGTGACTCTCACTGTGTTTGCAACTTCGGACCTAAAGTGCGGACACTTACAGATACTAGAAGGAAAATTTAAAGCTTTTCAGGTTGACCCATGATAGTATAGATACTAAGACACCTTTAAGCGAATCGGGATTGGGAATTCCTTACAGCGGTCACTAGGCGAACCGGTAGAATTAGGCAGCACAAGATAGAGATGAGAAACCTAGGTAGTAAAAATCGGCTTTTGACTAATCACTTTTGCTATACAAGCGACTCATCTATCTACTATTTGCAAGGTCCAGTATTGCCAGACCAATCACCATGTTCCGTTCCGCCAAGCACCAATCAAAATGCAGAGTTACTCTTTGGCA